GACAAACTTTCAAGAAATCGAAAATCTTAAAAATTCTGCATTTTTTAGGATCAAAAATGATGAGCGGACACATTCGTGGCAAAAATGGTTCGTCAGATTTATCAGATTGGGATAGGAGCTGTTCACCATGTCATACTAGTAGACGAAGCAGTGCTGCTGCTTGTGAGTTCATTTTTTTGAATTTCTGCTCAAAAAGCCAATAATCTAATTTTTCGATCAAAAAATGGCTCAAAAATTGTTTTTTTTTCAGTGCTAGCCGGTGGTTACGTAGTTATTCACGAATATGCACCGACCAATGGCGCACCACCATTGATCCTCGGTGAAAGGGTGCATGTCGTTGACAACGGCGATCCTGATTGGCTGCATGGATTCCGAGAGCATGATAGGTAAATTTTTGAGAAAATTTGAATAAATTAGGAAGTGATAGCTCAGTAGCACCACTTTCGCCTAAATCTTTATTTATCACATATATGGTGCTTTTCAGAACCGATCAACTGATAATTTACAGGACTGAGCAACTGATAACTTTCCCTGCCACATGCGTTGCACTAGTACAACCCGGAGAACAGGCGATGAAAATTTTACAAAATGTTGCAGTGCCAGAGATTAAATTGCGACTTTATCGAGATCAGGTGAGCAGGACTGTTTTTTCCATTGAAGAAAAAATTTCTATAAGCAAAAATGGAAGAAAAATAGACGGAAAAGCCCTTTTCCCCGCAAAAAATCGATTAATTAGCGGCTGCGCGAGCTATAGCCGTGTTTAGCTGTCTGCGTCTCCTAGTTTCGCGTACACTCTCTCACTCAAAGCGCCAATGGCAGCGATGCCGCGTTTGCTGCAATTTTTGCACTTTTTTGCATTTTTACTAAATTGTATGAATATTTCATGTTGTTATATTGTACATTCCAACTCATATTTCATCTTTCAGGTTGTCTTCGCTCAACCTGACACTCTAAGTGATGGAAAAGTGACGGTTCGAACTGCACACAACGCTTTCGCTCCATGTCCGCTGACCAG